CCCTCCAACCGGAAAGGAAAGCCAGAACAAAGAAAGCCAAACAGAGCCCAGAAGACCGCCTCTACGGAGTCCGTTCCACAGAAGAACACCAAATCCCGGTGCATTCCTTCCGACTTTTCAAGTCGCAAAATACAACGATGACTCAACACTTGAAAAAGAAGCTCCAGTCACCAACAGATCACTCAGCCGAGGTGACCGCAAGGGTAAGCATGGCGTTTTGCAGATCATTTTGAGTGTAAGGCTTGCAACACCCTCAGCAAAACGGGCAAGGCGAAGAAGCAACCGAGCCTGTACATTTTGGGCTCGGTCAATCGCAAGCTGGCCACAATCTCTCAACCCGCCGTCGACAAAGTAAAGATGGATAAGAGAACGACATCCAGAAAATTCCGGACCACATGAGCCCGGATGGACGGGCCAGTCGCTGGGTTGATTTTTTACAATGATCAGACTGGAAACACCGCTCGATTCGATTTCTGCTTTCTATTTTCCGTTCAGGCGTATTCGATCGGCGGCCTGCTGACCTGGCACTCTTTGGAGCAGTACTGCACCCGGCTGCATGCGGAGCACTTTTTGAACAGATTCTTCCGCGTCTCGACCACGTCCTGCGGGCACTCCTGGCAGCACGACAGCAGGACACGTGTCAAGCTTTCTCAAGAAGCAGCAACGAGCCGATAAGGGGCCCAACAGCAAAGGAACGACACACGGAGTGGCGCTCGAAGAGGCCGAGGAACGTCACGTCATCATCTGGCGGTAGCAATGGCATCGCCTACCGTTTCCTTTTCGGTTGCGAATAGCAGCTTTCGAGCATACGCTGCAGAGGAATTTGCCGTTGCATGTTGGACTGCAACACTTTCACATACTTGACTTGCGGAAAGCTTTGAATGGGGAGGATGGGGAGTGGAATCAGAAAAAGTCAGGGATACTTTGGCTTGGTCGTAACCGTGAGGGCTTTGATTTGAAAGCACGCTGCATTGTCGAGTTGAAAATCAAGCCAAGCAACGAAGTCCCAAAAGTCTCAAACCTTCAAGAAAAACAGGGTATCAAATACACCGGACAGAGTCACGCTTGGTCGGAACTGCACTTGTGGAAGAGAACCGGTTGAGAACTTCCAGTTAGGGGACAGGTCAATCGCGTATGTGAAGTTGCACAAACCTCGGCGGGTGCTTTAAGTGTACCTTGCCGCTGAATCTCCATGCACTGAGCAGGCAACTGTCTTGGACTTCCGCGAGAAGTCCAAGATGTTTGATTGGTGCACCGGTAGAGGAACCGGCAGACCCAAGAATCACCAAAAGCAGCCGTTTTTTACTCAAGAGCGCAATCGTTCGAGCACACCAATGGGCCGTCCCTACCTGGAAGCTGCACTTTTTGAGGCCATACTTTTGCGCCAGCCCCTCCCACAGCTGCAGTGCCAACCCCGGCAACTCCTCCAGCAACAACAGCGCCCCGCACTGATTCTGGTCCTCCCGTTTGTTCTTCCGCACGTATCGGTCCGCCCCCACCCGCGTCCTCAGCACCTCCGCTGCAAAACTCACCCCCCCGTTCCGAGCGATCGCGGATCTTGCAGCCCCCCCGCGAGGGGCTCCGCGTCAAGAACTGCCCCCATGCAGAACAACAGCTTCGTCGCCACCCCCTCAAACGCCTCCCACCGCCGCGCCTCCTCCTCGTCGGGGGCGCGCCCCTCGCACGTGCGAACGAGGCCCGCCATGCCGGCATATGCCGTCCCCAGGGCCGCCATAAGTGGGCCGGCCGTCCCGACGACTTCCGAGCGGACCGCTTCGCGAAAGTGGCAGCAGCAGCGGAGCGTCGCAGCGGCATAGTACACTGGGCTGTCGACGTCCGCCATCGCGGCGTGGCCCTCGTCCAACACTCTCAGCGCCACGTGGCAGAGCTTCCTTTCTTGCGCGTCGGGCCCCCACGTGGCCTCCCCCTCGATTGTCTCGTGCCTCCACTTGTGCATTAGCTCCGACCACCTCTCCCGCTTCTCGAGCGGGTCGCACGGCGTCGCGTGGAGCAGCGCGATCAAGCGACGTGAAGCGGCGCTGAACAGAATCGACTCGGGGTGAGAGAGATACGGGCTGGAGAGACAATATACGAGGAGTTGAATACCAGCTGAAGA